CACCAGTCGCCGATGAAAATTCCAGCAGGTGCTAACTTTTAAGTTAAGAAATCGAGGCATGACTAGATCAATATTGTAGCTCTATTTGTCCGATATTTGTCCGATTGGAGGTGAAATTTGATGTTTTTGTGGAAGTATGATGGCTGTGGTCTGTCTCCTATCGCAGATATTTTGATTGTGCCACCGCATGGCCAGTTGCATGGGGTGGCCGCAAACCGGCACGTAATTACGTGTTTTTTCTGGTTTGCGGCGGGGGGTGTTAATACACACATAACATGCGGGATCGTGTATGATGGTATGTGTGCTGATGTGTGTACCCGCTATGACCTGATAGTTTCTAGTAGTACTTACCCCCGGATGGGATGATCCATTCGAGGAAAAGGTGAAATTGTTTAAAACTTGACAAATTTACCGTAGCAACAGATAAACATGAGAATTTGGGTTACCCGTAGTAATTTGGTACATGCTTTCATCGTGACGTAGCGCATAAAGCTTTGTGACGTACGCGTGCCGCAAACCGGTAATGCGTGCCCGCAAACCGGGGAACTCGAAGCATTTCGAAACGTGGTCAATGCTGACCATGCTGTGGGTCAGTTAGGTTATTTGTGACTTCTATTTAATAAGTAAGTATATGGACTCTTTATTGAGGGTATTGAAGTATTCTGTGAGTATTCCAATAAAAATAGAATCGGCAGTTCCCGCCGATCGGCCGCAGACCAGAGCCACTACTCTATATCTTTGGTTGTAGACTTTACAACAATTAAAAATATAATTTCTTCAAATTTGCTCAGGACCGACTCGGTTCAGACTAGACTCTAGATCTAGATTTAATTGTCTAACGTGTTTTCAAGTCAATTTTTTAAATATATTTTTTTGAAATTTTTTGAATTTGTGTGTGGCTGGGGAAGGATGACAAATGTCAGTTTTATAACAGAGTTCCCATAACAGACAGTTATTTCTGTCTACACTAGTTCCATACATGTTACAATACCAGGCACTGCATTGCACTAGTAGTACTAGATCTAACAGTTACTAGGAAGTAGTGGTAACACACGCGGTTCCATGTCAGCTCGCCTAATGTCAGCCCGCCCCCTTACAAAGTCGCCCTCAATTGGTCATGTCGCCTCCCGATTTTGTTTGCCGATTTTGGGATTCTTGGTCAGCTCGCCCCCAGTTTTTTGGTCAGCTCGCCCCCTAATTTGTTGTTTCAATTTGATGTCTTTTACAAGTTCAAAGTCAAGCCATTTTTAGTTCCTGGCATCTCAGTTCTATGATATTACTAAATATTGACAATTTTCCTCGAGTTTTCCATTGTAACGCATATTTTCGAGGATATTTGCATCTAAGTTTCCACCAGCTTACGTACTAACACATCGATCACTCTCTCAATATTATTGTCTCCTCTCTGTCAGTGCTGTGCTGCGGAGCGGGGAGACCCTCTTCATGGCTTTCTGGCTAGCTCACTGTCTTGTTACTCTCACTCTTTGTCCCCCCCCCCCCCCCCCCCTCTCTCTCTCTCTCTCTTTCTCTCTCTATCTCTCTCTCCTCTCTCTCTCCCTCTATCTCTCCCTATCTCTCTCCCACCCCCTCTCTCTCCCTATTCTCACTCTCCTTCTTTCTCTCTCTCTCTCTCTTTCTCTGGTATAAGTTCTTAAATAAAAGGGTGACATGTGAATGCATTTTTTAATAATGTTACTAGGGTTAGAATATAGAATTTTACTTTTTTTTTAAAACTAAATCAGTTTTAATTGTATAAAATCCTGTTTGACTTTTAACAATTCCCAAGATGATGCACACTATATATCGAATATTACAATGGCAAACTTTTACCTATGTTTTTTATGCGAAACTTATCTTATTTAAGTTATTTTTATGCAATATCATATTCTACATGTACCTTTTAGTAAATTGGCCCAAATACAAAATGTTCTGCATTTTGCCTACAATGTATAATTTGTTTAAATCATTGTAGCATCTATTTGATTTTATAATTCCTGGATTCGGTTTCTGTTGTTGTCTTTGTTTCTGTTATTATACCATAGTAACCATACCCATCTGGCTATGCATTTTCCAACTAAAACATTTAATTCTTTTGAATATCAAAAATGTATCACTATTCATAATTATATTGTATAAGTTCAGTATATAATTTAATTGCAAATATGGTAATACAATTCAGATTTCTGTATATGTACACTCTAAAAACTGAAATGTTAAATGTAAATTTAAAAGGGCCGAGGAGTGACCACTCTTTTAAAATGTCAGATTGTTTCTTTTAACCTGCTAGATTCGACCTTTATAGTGTTGGATCCAGCATGTTCAAAGTGTTAATCTACCATTTTGAAAGAGTGGTCACTCCTCGGCCCTTTTAAATGGTGATTTAACATTTCAGTTTTCAGAGTGTACCAAGCAATTTGCCAAGGTCGTTGAAGCACAATTATGTTCAAAAGAATTGCAATTTTACTACCATTATGCTACCATGCATAATTTTTATGTGTAATTTTACTTTGTCACTGATGTATACGTTGTAAAAGAAACTGATTCGGCTCTCGGGCCGCGAATGTTTTTTAATGAAATAAACCATTTAAAATAAATAAATAAATAAATCGTTCTGGCTGGCTTAGTGACGGAACTTAAGGGAGTATCCACAGGCTATAGAGATAATAAGGATTTAATAGATTGGCTTTCTTAGCTTTTCTCAAGTATAATTTTGTACACTCAAGCAAATTAGAGCATTTTCAGATCCCTTTTTAATCCCATATAGTTTGTGTTCACTACTTACAAGACCCATACTAGAACGTGTCGTCATGAGATAGTTGTAAAAGTTTAAAAATAGAAATAGAAGAGAATGTCTCTACATGACTTTTATAAGTTTATTATGAAGCAAATAGATCGAAATAGACCCAAATGAACGAAACGTTATCTAATTTTACTCTCAATTCATTATATAATAAGTGCGTGATTTTGTTTAATGAATATTGTAAGGGACGACCATGCGTGACCAACATGAACATCTGCTCATCTTTTCAAGTATTCGAAAGCACTAGTAGGTTCCAACCTTAACCTGTCTAATAATAATAATAATTTGTGTTGATTTTGTGTATAGATGTCACTTCTTTTAATCTGTGCACAAATAAAAAGCAGTTATTCTTCCAAATACATACCTTATTACTATGTCGCGGCGCTTTTGTCCTTCATTATTATAAAGCGCGCGGAGGATAACGCTGAAACAATAATAATAACAAAGAAACATTTTTGATAATTCAAACAATGATGAAGAGTCGGTACAACGAATCGTCTTTTTTGTTCTTTCTCTAATAATTTAATGAAACGTCAAAGCTTCCGCGCTTCATGCGGAAGGGGGGGGGACTTAATTCAGACAAGGATTAAGAGTCGAAAACCATTTTCTAATAATTTAATGAAACGTCAGCGCGGTGAGGGAAAACTGAATTCAGACAAGGATTAAGAGAAAAATATCATAATGATAAATACAGTACAGACTACGTCCAACTTTCTATCTCCCGCCAACCCACTCTCCCCCCCCCCTCTCTCCCTCTCTCTGTCTATGTCCATCTTCATCTTCCATAATGTTGTCTATTCTGCCATTTGCTTGTATCCCGGCATCATCCCTTCCTTGAGATTAATTATTATAACATATTCCTGATGGTATACGTCTGACATTATACTTTAGCGAAAAGATATAATCACACCAAAAGAGAAAAAACTAAAGAACAAAATCAGAGCCGGAAGGGAGTGATTGGAGGAGGAGAGACAAATATCATAACAATGAATACAGTATACAGGCTACGTCCAACTTTCTATCCCTTCCCCCTCTCACATGTTATACCTTATATCTAGTTTAGGGAACAAAATAGAGAACGAGGGGCTGATAATATCGAAATGAGAAGAATATTACTGTAAATCTCTGTTAATTCAAACTGATAAATAAAATAAAAAATTATTATGCTATATTGACGGTATATACGTCGGTTAAGCCAAACGATATATTACAAACAAAAAAGAGAAAAACTAAAGAAAAAAATATGAGCTGGGGGGGGGGGGGGGAGTCGGTGAGACAATTATCATAATAATAAATACAGTACAGACTACGTCCAACTTTCTATCTCCCGCCACCCCCTCTCTCTCCCTCTCTCTCTCTCTATGTCCATCTTCATCTTCCATAATGTTGTCTATTCCGCCATTTGCTTGTATCCCGGCATCATCCCTTCCTTGAGATTAATTATTATAACATATTCCTGATGGTATACGTCGGACATTATACTTTAGCGAAAAGATAATCACACCAAAAGAGACAAACTAAAGAACAAAATCAGAGCCGGAAGGGAGTGATTGGAGGAGGAGAGACAAATATCATAACAATGAATACAGTACGGTCTATACAGGCTACGTCCAACTTTCTAACCCCCCCCCCCCCCCCAGGCCCCCCTCTCACATATACCTTTTCTTTAGTTTAGGGAATGTAACAGAGAACCAGTGGCTGATAATGTCGAAATGAGAAGAATATTACTGTACAATAATAAAAAGTAAAACCTTTGAATGTAAATCTCTGTTGCATCAAAATAAAATGAAACGTTTATCACATTATACTTTAGCACAAAATAGTTATCTAGAAGAAGGTGGACATCATTATATATTAAATAACCTGCTTAGGTTATGCGCTAGCGTACTGCCTTTGTACGTAGGGGGCGACTGTGTATATAGGGGGCGACTGTGTATAGGAGGCGACTGTGTATAGGAGGCGACTCGACCACACAATTTGGGGGCGACTACGTTAGGAGGCGACTGCGTATAGGAGGCGACTGCGTATAGGAGGCGACCGGCTTGGGGGCGACCTGACCAGACACCACACACGCGCTCCATGGCCCGCTAGAGGCGGCGTGGGTGCGGGTTATTGTCCGCTGAACATCTAAAACGCATTCATCCACATACAAATTACAATCACAGTCGGCACACTCACACTAGTCATCAAGATTACCCACCTGTAAGAACAGCTCAAAGAGTATTTCATCAGTCACTCTTGGGTCAAGATTCCCAACCCATAATGTTCTATCTGCCTGGTCATTCATTTCAGTCTTCGAGGCAAAGATTATACTGAATTTTACAATTTTTAAGAACAAGGATTTGAAGGAGCTTGCACCAAGTGAAAGCTAGCAGCACATCTCGTTTTCAAGTATAGCAGCGCTAGCTGCCAAATTAATCACGGGTCTACTGTTGAGTAATTTTGATTCTAGAATGAAAAAAATTATAAAAGTCAGTAATATAAGATACTTTTATAATCTTGAATAATTCAAAAATGTTTATTAAAATAATGTGTTATAGCTTTATTATCTTTTTATGAGGGCCTTTGTTGTCATTTGCAACTGGTAATTAAATTGGCTATGCAAGTTTACACAACTTACAACCTTACGAAATATTCAGTTAAGCGTCCGTAGCAGCAGCAATTTCAATTTGTATTGAAACAACGGATTGAATGGAAGTTGGCCGGATTCCAGCCGGAAAACCAATTTGAAGAATGTAAAAAGTATAAGGGTCTTAAATTAAAATTTCATTAATGCAACTAAATAAATTATTTATTAACCTGATTTTAAACAAAAACGAATAGTTTGCAAAAATAATAAATTATATTATTTTTTATATCAAACTAGAAAAATTAAGGTTAAAATAGACGGTCATTTTGGGTCATTATGGAAAATTTGGAGGGGGGGGGGGGTAACTTTGGATCGGTCCGCTAGCGCTCAGAGAAAATACGTATTAAAGAGATTAATGGAAGTTTAAGAACAAGGTCTAATCTTTCGAAAAAATGCTATTTTATCAAAAGTTAGATGGTTCTTCGATAGCGGACTAGTCTTCCTGCAGACAGTCATTTCCTAACTCTAAGTGTACAACATATGGAAAATTGGAAGGGGATGGGGGGATAACTTTGGATCGGTCAGCTAGCGCTCAGAGAAAATACGTATTAAAGAGATTAATGGAAGTTCAAGATTAAGGTCTCATCTTTCGAAAAAATGCTATTTTATTAAAAGTTAGATGGTTCTTCGATAGCGAACTAGCCTTCCTGCAGACAGTCATTTTCGTAACTCTAAGTGTACAACATATGGAAAATTTGAGGGGGGGGGGGTAACTTTGGATCGGTCAGCTAGCGCTCAGAGAAAATACATATTAAAGAGATTAATGGAGGTTCAAGAACAAGGTCTAATCTTTCGAAAAAATGCTATTTTATCAAAAGTTAGATGGTTCTTCGATAGCGGACTAGTCTTCCTGCAGACAGTCATTTTCCTATCTCTAAGTGTACAACATATGGAAAATTGGAAGGGGATGGGGGGATAACTTTGGATCGGGCCGCTAGCGCTCAGAGAAAATACATATTAAAGAGATTAATGGAAGTTCAAGATTAAGGTCTCATCTTTCGAAAAAATGCTATTTTATCAAAAGTTAGATGGTTCTTCGATAGCGAAGTAGTCTTCCTGCAGACAGTCATTTTCATAAGTCTACGTCTACAACATTATGGAAAATTGGAAGGGGGTGGGGGGTAACTTTGGATCGGTCCGCTAGTGCTCAGAGAAAATACGTATTAAAGAGATTAATGGAAGTTCAAGATTAAGGTCTGATCTTTCGAAAAATTGCTATTTTATCAAAAGTTAAATGGTTCTTCGATAGCGAACTAGTCTTCCTGCAGACAGTCATTTTCCTAACTCTAAGTGTACAACATATGGAAAATTGGAGGGGGGGGGGGTAACTTTGGATCGGTCCGCTAGCGCTCAGAGAAAATACGTACTAAAGGGATTAATGGAAGTTCAAGAACAAGGTCTAATCTTTCAAAAAAATGCTATTTTATCAAAAGTTAGATGGTTCTTCGATAGCGGACTAGTCTTCCTGCAGACAGTCATTTTCCTAACTCTAAGTGTACAACATATGGAAAATTGGAAGGGGATGGGGGATAACTTTGGATGGGTCCGCTAGCGCTCAGAGAAAATACGTATTAAAGAGATTAATGGAGGTTCAAGATTAAGGTCTCATCTTTCGAAAAAATACTATTTTATCAAAAGTTAGATGGTTCTTCGATAGCGAACTAGTCTTCCTGCAGACAGTCATTTTCATAATTCTTCGTGTATAACATATGGAAAATTGGAGGGGGGGGGGGGTAACTTTGGATCGGTCCGCTAGTGCTCAGAGAAAATACATTTAAAGAGATTAATGGAAGTTCAAGATTAAGGTCTCATCTTTCGAAAAAATGCTATTTTATTAAAAGTTAGATGGTTCTTCGATAGCGAACTAGCCTTCCTGCAGACAGTCATTTTCGTAACTCTAAGTGTACAACATATGGAAAATTTGAGGGGGGGGGGGTAACTTTGGATCGGTCAGCTAGCGCTCAGAGAAAATACATATTAAAGAGATTAATGGAGGTTCAAGAACAAGGTCTAATCTTTCGAAAAAATGCTATTTTATCAAAAGTTAGATGGTTCTTCGATAGCGGACTAGTCTTCCTGCAGACAGTCATTTTCCTAACTCTAAGTGTACAACATATGGAAAATTGGAAGGGGATGGGGGGATAACTTTGGATCGGTCTGCTAGCGCTCAGAGAAAATACATATTAAAGAGATTAATGGAGGTTCAAGAACAAGGTCTGATCTTTCGAAAAAATACTATTTTATCAAAAGTTAGATGGTTCTTCGATAGCGAACTAGTCTTCCTGCAGACAGTCATTTTCATAAGTCTACGTGTACAACATATGGAAAATTGGAAGGGGATGGGGGGATAACTTTGGATCGGTCCGCTAGCGCTCAGAGAAAATACGTATTAAAGAGATTAATGGAAGTTCAAGATTAAGGTCTCATCTTTCGAAAAAATGCTATTTTATTAAAAGTTAGATGGTTCTTCGATAGCGGACAAGTCTTCCTGCAAACAGTCATTTTCCTAACTCTACGTGTACAACATATGGAAAATTGGAGGGGGGGGGGGGGTAACTTTGGATCGGTCCGCTAGCGCTCAGAGAAAATACGTATTAAAGAGATTAATGGAAGTTCAAGATTAAGGTCTCATCTTTCGAAAAAATGCTATTTTATCAAAAGTTAGATGGTTCTTCGATAGCGAACTAGTCTTCCTGCAGACAGTCATTTTCATAAGTCTACGTCTACAACATATGGAAAATTGGAAGGGGGTGGGGGTAACTTTGGATCGGTCCGCTAGTGCTCAGAGAAAATACGTATTAAAGAGATTAATGGAAGTTCAAGATTAAGGTCTGATCTTTCGAAAAAATGCTATTTTATCAAAAGTTAAATGGTTCTTCGATAGCGAACTAGTCTTCCTGCAGACAGTCATTTTCCTAACTCTAAGTGTACAACATATGGAAAATTGGAGGGGGGGGGGGTAACTTTGGATCGGTCCGCTAGCGCTCAGAGAAAATACGTACTAAAGAGATTAATGGAAGTTCAAGAACAAGGTCTAATCTTTCAAAAAAATGCTATTTTATCAAAAGTTAGATGGTTCTTCGATAGCGGACTAGTCTTCCTGCAGACAGTCATTTTCCTAACTCTAAGTGTACAACATATGGAAAATTGGAAGGGGATGGGGGGATAACTTTGGATCGGTCCGCTAGCGCTCAGAGAAAATACGTATTAAAGAGATTAATGGAAGTTCAAGATTAAGGTCTCATCTTTCGAAAAAATGTTATTTTATCAAAAGTTAGATGGTTCTTCGATAGCGAACTAGTCTTCCTGCAGACAGTCATTTTCCTAACTCTACGTGTACAACATACGGAAAATTGGAAGGGGGGGGGGGTAACTTTGGATCGGTCCGCTAGCGCTCAGAAAAAATACGTATTAAAGAGATTAATGGAGGTTCAAGATTAAGGTCTGATCTTTCGAAAAAATAATATTTTATCAAAAGTTAGATGGTTTTTCGATAGCGAACTAGTCTTCCTGCAGACAGTCATTTTCATAAGTCTACGTGTACAACATATGGAAAATTTGAGGGGGGGGGGGATAACTTTGGATCGGTCCGCTAGCGCTCAGAGAAAATACATATTAAAGAGATTAATGGAGGTTCAAGAACAAGGTCTGATCTTTCGAAAAAATACTATTTTATCAAAAGTTAGATGGTTCTTCGATAGCGAACTAGTCTTCCTGCAGACAGTCATTTTCATAAGTCTACGTGTACAACATATGGAAAATTGGAAGGGGATGGGGGGATAACTTTGGATCGGTCCGCTAGCGCTCAGAGAAAATACGTATTAAAGAGATTAATGGAAGTTCAAGATTAAGGTCTCATCTTTCGAAAAAATGCTATTTTATCAAAAGTTAGATGGTTCTTCGATAGCGGACTAGTCTTCCTGCAAACAGTCATTTTCCTAACTCTACGTGTACAACATATGGAAAATTGGAGGGGGGGGGGTAACTTTGGATCGGTCCGCTAGCGCTCAGAGAAAATACGTATTAAAGAGATTAATGGAAGTTCAAGATTAAGGTCTCATCTTTCGAAAAAATGCTATTTTATCAAAAGTTAGATGGTTCTTCGATAGCGAACTAGTCTTCCTGCAGACAGTCATTTTCATAAGTCTACGTGTACAACATATGGAAAATTGGAAGGGGGTGGGGGTAACTTTGGATCGGTCCGCTAGTGCTCAGAGAAAATACGTATTAAAGAGATTAATGGAAGTTCAAGATTAAGGTCTGATCTTTCGAAAAATTGCTATTTTATCAAAAGTTAAATGGTTCTTCGATAGCGAACTAGTCTTCCTGCAGACAGTCATTTTCCTAACTCTAAGTGTACAACATATGGAAAATTGGAGGGGGGGGGGGGTAACTTTGGATCGGTCCGCTAGCGCTCAGAGAAAATACGTATTAAAGAGATTAATGGAAGTTCAAGAACAAGGTCTAATCTTTCAAAAAAATGCTATTTTATCAAAAGTTAGATGGTTCTTCGATAGCGGACTAGTCTTCCTGCAGACAGTCATTTTCCTAACTCTAAGTGTACAACATATGGAAAATTGGAAGGGGATGGGGGGATAACTTTGGATCGGTCCGCTAGCGCTCAGAGAAAATACGTATTAAAGAGATTAATGGAAGTTCAAGATTAAGGTCTCATCTTTCGAAAAAATGTTATTTTATCAAAAGTTAGATGGTTCTTCGATAGCGAACTAGTCTTCCTGCAGACAGTCATTTTCCTAACTCTACGTGTACAAC